CACGTTTATAATACACGTGAGTACTTTTCGCTGACCGTATTAAATTTTCTTTCCCTAAACACTTTGATAGACCCATATTCACCCAAAACCTCTAACCTATCAACAATTGAAACAACAGAATTGACCACCAACCCCAAAACATTTATCAAAAGAAAACAACAACAAATACCACAAAAGAGACAAGGTTAACAAATAACGAAAGTCAACGGCTGCACTCGCAGCCATCCAGGGGTTAAGCACTCCCACATTATATGTGGATATTGTGAGTTCATTCCATGGTAGAAGGTTATCTTCGCTAATAGTTATGTCTGGCTTCTGGCTGACAGTCTCTTACGTAACAGACAGAGCCAAGAAGCCCTAAAAGTTAAATCGGCCAAGGAGGCAGAGAGTAAATCAAAACAGCTGCCACAATGTGGAAAAAAAAGAAAAACAAAAACAACAGATGGTGCCAAAAATCGTTCCCTCACGATCATGCGATTTTAAGAAATACACTGGGATAAAGGGTGAACTGCAGGTCGAGGGGAGACAGGTGGTACCTACGTAGTGCACGTGACTTCAGTCCTAAAAGGCTATCTTCTCTTCTAGAACATATCAGTGTTGTCTAACGTTGATATATCAAATTGATCTAAAAATTATGTTTCCTTATGTCTTTTCTGACTTCGCAATAGTTGCAAAACGCATAGAGCATGCTGTAAAGCAAAATAAATCCATTTTATTATTATTATTACTATTATTATTATCATTATTATTATTATTATTATTATTATTATTATTATTATTATTATTATTATTAATATCATTATTACCATTTTAAATATTATTGCCATTATTTTTTATAATGATAATATCAATATTATTATTTTGTCAAAAGAAGGTAGGGTGTTCCTGTGTTTTTTTTCTCTACTGGTTCTTCCCCACTAGGGTAAGTATACTATTAGTATTCCATCAATTTGTCTACTTTGAGTGGTTAGCATGTTGTATACGCCTATAATTATTGAAGCCACTTTTAGTCAACGTTATGAAAATTAATTTTTGAGATTAAGTTCAATCAAAGGTGCGGTGAGTCAGTCTCAGGGTTTCGATGGAGGTCAGCACACACACACACACACACACACACACACACACACACACACACACACACACACACAAACAAACAAACAAACACCCATACACACTCACTCACACACACACATACACAAACACATACACACGCACACACATACACACACACAAAGACACACACACACTCACACACAAACACAAACACACAAACTCCTTCACACTCATACACACTCACACACACTCACACACACACACTCACACACGCACACACACACACACACACACACACACACACACACACACACACACACACACATACACACACATACACACACAAACATAATCCCTGTCACAGACTTTCTCATCGATGGAGGTTTTAACAGACTAGAAAGGAGAGGAGAAGAAATAGAGGCTTGACAAGATGAAAACCATCTTCTGCTTGTAAATGATCCTTTAGAACATACTCACATTTTATTCTCGAGCTAGGTATTCAACTATGACTCCAGACATAGCACTCTGTACAGAAAACTTGCACAGACATCTAAGTAAAAAAGTGGAAACCCAGCTTGGAGGAAGTGACCATCGCCCTGTTCTTCTTACCATAGTAGAGAGCCTGCCAGAGAACAGCCCGAAATGACCGACATGGACTACAAAAAAGCAGACTGGAGATTTTTCATCATAAGAACTAATGAACTGACAAAGAACATCGCAGTCTTCGACAGAAACATAAAGAATGCCATCACAGAGTAATATGAAAAAATCCTTAAGTCAGCAAAAGAAAGCATACATAGAGGGGTAAGGAAAAATTACACCCCATACTGGACGCCAGAACTCCAGAAAACACATAACGACCTCATCAAGGCCAGAGAAAAAGCCGAATCACATCCAGGGATAGAAAACTACAACAAGCGACACAGGTGTAAAGCCAACTATCTCAAAACCATATTGGAGTGCACCAGGAAAAGCTGGAGAGACAAAACGCACAAACTTAACTTGGAAAAGAACACCACAAAACTATCTAGGCTTGTAAAGGGGCTAAACGACGAAGAAAATAAAAGTACTAAGATCACTTTAGAAGTTGAAGGAGAGATGGAAATGGAGAAAAGGGCAGCACATACCTTTGTAAAAGCATATGCTCAAGACAGCAACATCAAAATACCAAGAGATACGACAAAAAGAAGTCAGACAAGAAAAAGAAGAAAAAGAAGTACAAAAAACGTTCTGGAAGCAATGAAGAAGAATATCACCCTGGAAGAGCTGAAGAAAGCAATAAATCAACTAAAGCAAAGAAAATCACCAGGCCCCGATGAAGTTACGAACGAAAAGTTACAACACCTTGGCGACACAGCCTTACAGTCTCTACTGGATATATTCAACTTAAGCTGGAAAAATGGGCAAGCCCCCCAGTGCTGGAAAGAAGCAACGATGATCCCGATCCTCAAGCTATTAACCTTTAAGCTAAAGACCTATCAGCCTCACAAGCTGAGTATGTAAGAAAATGGAGCGCATCATAGCTTGCAGAATGCAGTGGTACCTAGAGACACAACACATCCTAGTACCAGACCAAGCTGGATTCCGTTTGTTGAGGAGCAGAGAGGACCAAACAATTTACTTGTCCTAAGTTATAGAAGACTCTTTCCAGGCTTAGCAAGTGATGCTAGCAACATTTATTGAGCTACAAAAAACGTTTGACAAGGTTTGGAAGGAGGGCCTACTAGTCAAGCTCCTCAGAGGAGGTATCCAACGCAACATGATCCAATTGACCAAATCCTATCTACACAGCC